CTATATTCTCACATCCTATCTCATAAACATCACATCCTACCCACCCCCTTCTCTCTCTGTCCACCACTAGAAACTATAAACCCTCATGCAAACCTACTGGCTATATAGTAGAAAATAACTGTACACTTCTGTTTACAGCAGCAAAACTGTAAATGTCTAAATAGAATCTAATTGATTTATGGCTGCATATTAGTTGCATTAAACATTGATCTCCCCCTAAAAGGTGAGGTATTCATAACCTGCAGGGACACTATAAGATTATAGGGTAGAAACTACAATACCTCAGACTCACACTGCAAGAAAGAAAGACACATAGACAACATGACAAACCAAGGGAGGAAAATGCCACAAATAAACCAAGATACTATAATAATAGAATCCATTGATGTAGATGAAAGATGAAATGACAGAGGAGTTCAGATTGTACATAATTAAAATGATCTGCAAATTAAAGAATGACCTGAGAGAGCAAATACAGGCAAAAATTGATCACTCCAACAAAGAGATAACAGAGCAATTACAGGCAACAATTGATCACACCAACAAAGAGATAAAAGAGAAAGACAGCAAAAGATTACTTCAAGAAAGAGATACAGGGGGTCAGGGTTGTTGCTCAGTTGTAGAGCACTTGCCTAGCATACATGAGGCACTGGGTTCGATCCCCAGGACCACATAAAAATAAACAAAATAAAGGTATTGTGTCCATCTACAACTAAAAAAAGAAAGAAAGAAATAGATAGATAGAGATTTGAAGGGGGAAAAAAAACCAGAAATCATAAACCAAATAAAAAACTTGATAGAAAACATCACCAACAGATTAGATCATTTGAAAGACAGAACCTCAGACAATGAAGACAAAATGTTCAATCTTGAAAATCAAGTTGACCACACAATGAAGATAGTAAGAAATCATGAACAGAACATCCAAGAATTATGGGAAAATATCAAAAGACCAAATCTTAGATTTATTGGGATAGAGAAAAAAATGTACAATCTCTTCAATGAAATAATATCAGAAAATTTCCCAAATGTAAAGAATTGGAAAATCAAATACAAAAGGTCACCAAATGTACAAAATTACAACAGATCTACACCAAAGCACATTATAATGAAAATGACTAGCATACCGAATAAGGGTAGAATTTTAAAGCCGCAAGACAGAAGAATCAGATTACATATAGGTGAGACAAATTTGGATCTCAGCAGATTTTTCAACCCAAACCCTCAAGGCCAGGAAATCCTAGAATAACATACCAAAATCTGAAAGAAAATGGATGCCAACCAAGAATCTTATATCCAACAAAATTAAGCTTCAGGGCTGATGACAAAATAAAAACCTTCCATGATAAACAAAAGTTAAAAGAATTTACAACAAGAAAGCTGCACTACAGAACATTCTTGGCAAAATATTCCATGAAGAAAAAATGAAAATCTGCAAAGGGAGGAACTATACTAATGGAAAGGCCAATCAAAGGATAAACAATGTCAAATTAAAAACCAAAAATAAACCAAAATGACCAGGAATACAAAACATATTCAAATAATAACCCTGAATGTGAATGGCCTAAACTCATCAATTAAAAGACACAGACTGGCAGACTGGATTTTATAAAAAGACCCAACAAATGCTGCCTTCAAGAGATTCATCTCACAGAAAAAGACATCCACGAGCCCGTGAAAGGTGAAAGGATGGGAAAAAATGTATCTCTCACATGGACCATACAAATAAGCAGGGTTTCTATCCTTATATATCAGATAAAGATGACTTCAAAGTTAGTGAAAAGGATAAAGAAGGACTTTTCATACTACTCAAAGGAACCATACATCAACAAGACATAACAATCATAAATATCTATGCCCCAAACAATGGGATGTCTATGTATATCAAACAAAGTGTTCTTAACTTCAAAAATCAAATAGACCACAACACAACACTGGGTGACTTTAACACACCTCTCTCACCACTGGATAGATCTTCCAAACAAAAACTAAACAAAGAAACTATAGAACCCAATAAAATAATCAATAATTTATACTTAACATATATATATGGAATATTCCATCAACGAGTGAATACATTTTTTTTTCCCCAGCAGCACATGGATCCTTCTCCAAAATAGACCATATGTTATACCACAAAGAAACCACATCAGGAAGAAAAGAGTAAAGTATTTAAAAGTGTTGGAAGGGAGAGACACCATTCTAGAAATCTAGATACACTGTAATTACTCTTCCAAAGAAAAGGAGAAAAACAAAAATTGAGGAATTCATTGTCAGAAGCCATGTGCTGCAAGAAATTAAAAGTTGTTCTTCAGAGAAAGGAAAATGAAAGAGGTCAGAAACTCAGACACAGTATACACAAAGAAGGGAAAAAACTGGACAAGTAAATGAAACGAAAATTGCATCTTTTTTCTTAAATGATCTAAAAGATAACTATTTAAAGTAATAAAGTAATAGTAAAAATGTCTTGGGTGATTAGAGCCTACAGATACATGAAATGAATGGTAACAATATAATAAGGGAAAAGAAGAAGAAATTACGAATATTCTATTTAAGATACCTGTACTGCACATGAAGTAGGATAGCAATGACAGAGTACTTTACACTAGCTAAAATTATGTTGCAAACACCAGGACAACAATTTTAAGAAATTTTTAATAAGTATAATTTATATGCTAAGAAAGGAGAAAAAATAGAATCACATAAATACTCAGTTAAAACTAGAGAATGGGGTAGAGGTGTGAGCACTTGAAGCTTTGGGTTGAACCCCTAGCACGGGTTGGGGAGGGAGGGGTTTGGCTATAATATCACAAAGATAGCAGGGGGCAGGAGGGAGGGGCAGTAGAAGAACCAGAGACCACAAAGACCAAAGCTTGGAAAAGTATAATTAACAACTGCTTTCTGGGATTAGAGTACTGTACTGTGTAAATAATGTAATAGGGAAATATCAGTAATGAATTTTTTTATTGAAATAACTAAATAAGGTTTCTTTTAATAACTTTTTATAGGAAAAGAAGAAATCAAATGACTAAACATAATTATTTCAGAATTATTTCTAGAAGATAATTTGCATAATTTTATTAGTTAGATTTTCCAGGAAAATAAATTATTCAAGGCATTTTAAGAAAAGCATATTTTTATAGATAAAATAAAACTTATTATAAGGATGAAGGTCAAAAAAGCTGCTGCTAGTATACAGGAAACCAGAAAACAGAGATCACACCACAACTCTGATGATGATTTCAGTTTCCTCAGCAAAAAAGGGAGTTCTTTCCAAGACATTACTGGACATGATGTGTATGAGTAATTCAGACAATCACAACACATTATTCTCTTCTATCTTACAAAACATATAAAAAAAACCTTTCTTTTATGAGAATCTGAAACTGGAATCCTGCTGACAATGGGATCTACAACACATTCCAGGCTTCCTGCTGCAGAAAACAAGGACTGTGATGAATGATCGTTATCTAATATCATTTGTCTTCTACCCTCCACATAAAATATCAGTCAAATATGCAAATAATTCACATGTAAATAAATGGCTATCCTAAGATATTCTGTAAAATGGGACAATGTTCCATCCCATGTCCATGCCTGTCATGCTGAACACTGGTAAAATTAATATTCTAGAATTTGGAAATAATATGTGACATAGTACCCAATTTCTTTTTTTTTTAAATTTTTTAATTGATTTTTTAAAAAATAAATGACAGCAGAATGCATTTCAATTATTATTATACATATACAGCACAATTTTTTAAAATGAAAAGAAATAATTGCTTAAAATAAAACGTAGGAATATTTGAGAAGAAAAACAGACATGGACAGAAGTACTAAATCAGAAAAAGAGAAAGCCACCAATCTCCTCTACCCAATTATATATTTTCTCACAAATATAGATAAAAAGCCTAACATAAAAGAGACCATAAATGATGAACTATGGGTCTCAAATATAACAAATAGAAAGAAAATGTAATACTATCACAAATAAGCAAGTTTAGAATGTTAATAACATTACTCCTGGAAGTGCCTTCTGTTTTACAACCCTAAATACATTTAACAACTTCAAATGGAAAATTACCTCCAACCTTCTAATGTCAAAATACAACTGTTGCCATTATATAGCAAAATGGAGAATGTAAGCCATAAATGGTTTTATGATTTTTGTTTATTACAGCCTTAGATACTTGCACATTTATGTACATGTATAGTTTATTAAATATTCTACGGACTTGTAAAAAAATACAACTGTCAAATCTAAATTGGTTATAATTGGAATCCTTAATCTCAAATAAAGGACTTTCCCCACACAATTCGAAAGTAACTTTAAGCTACTGGATTTTCTTCCTTTCCTTAGCCTCAGAACATGATTTCCTAAATGAAGATAATATGTTAATCTATGGAAAAAGAGCAAAAGTAGAAGTCTCAAGACTAAGCTCCACCCTTCATTCATCAGTCAATGAATTGAATTCAGTTAATGTAATTGCTCAGAAGTCTAAGTTTCAATTCTCATAAAGTTAGATAGGTAAGAGATTTAAATATTGAAAGGGCTCTGAAAACTATGAATTGCTACTTAAATATTACAGAAGTATAAAGCAAAGAAATAAATGATAAATATCTACACCATTCCTAACATTTTCATTGTGTTTAAGTACCACTGTTACATTATCTCCTTTCAGGAAGTTTAATTCTAATGGAGGAAAATATCACAGAATTGAGATTTTTACATCATAGTCTCAAATGTCACCAATAAGGGAGGTATATATTTTAATCTTCCTCTAAACTATAAATTTTCTAAGTGATTGGGGTAATAATGAATAAAATAAAGTAGGCTAAGAACACTAAAAAAAAAAAAAAATCAAACAAGACACAAATTACCATTTCAAACTTTGGGGGTTTATTATTCCACTTGTAAATTAATCCATATAAACACCCTAGACTTACCTACTGTGCTTTTAATTAAAACAAAGTAAGAAAATGGGAAACTTTTTGTTAACCTTTTTCAGCTGCGATTCCATTTTCAAACATTCCTCCTTCTTCTGCTCCAGAGCAATCTCTAGTGTCTTGAGTCTTGAGTCCTTTTTCAGGCCTGAGGAAGCCAGGGAAGAAGCATGCTCTTTCAGATCCAAGAGTGAAGCCTAAAAGAAGCAAGAAAACCTAGAATAAATATGCAGATTGAAAATTTGAAATTTACTATCATGGTGGCTTGCAGTTTCTTTCCATTTCAAGAACATTCATGAACTATAAAACAATATTAGCTTTAGCTTTCAAGTATTAATTAAAATAAGATGGATTTCTAAGAACAGTGACTTTGAGTTCTAACTATACATACTGTTTCCCACAAAACAAAAGTAGATCAAGCTTTGTGAATATAAGGAGTCAACTTTAATAGCTTCATAAACTTAAAGATAAAACATTTTTTTCCTTCTAAAGGAAATATTCTATTAGGAACTCACTTCCACAAATTTTCCTAAAGGTATTGGAAAGAAAATTCAGAGAGACCCTAAAGCTCTTGCATTATTGTTTTATCACATGTAACGGTTTTAGTTATTTTAGAATATATAAAAATACCATTAACAAGTAAGAAACTAACACAAAACATGATGAAAGAGATAGCAAAACTTAGGGAATAAACCAATTTTATTATGTCTTTGCAAAACTCCTGAAATATCCTTTGAGTCATTCACAAAAAGCCTGCTGTAAGAGTATTAAAATCTTCCATCAAATACTTTTCATATATAAAACATAACAACACATACATACAACAATGCAATAACTAAGCAAACCAAATAATTCCATTTTAGTGATTTTAACTAACCTCTTTCTCTGAGAGGTCGCCTTGCAACAGGCTGACTTTTTCTTTCAAGTCTTTAAGATCTTTTTTGTAGTTATCAATTTCCTCTTGCTTCTCTCGCTCATCTCTGTCCCGCTGTTCCTTTAAGCGTTCAATTGTTCGCTCCTGAAGACAAAACACATCAACACATGAGGAAATTCCTTTCTGTGCTTAATATGACTATAATTCTGCTTTTAGCTGATAAAGTGACACTTCTATCCTCTGTTCAAAAGATTGGTAAATTTTTTAAAAATTCACTTTTTTAAAATTTATCCCTCCTTCCTATATTGTCATAACAAAGCTCCGGCTTTGCTTTTTTTGACTTCCAAGTTTTCTTTTCCTATAATTTCAAATATTCAGATCACCAATATAGTCTCTTGAAATATTCCCATTTAAATTCAATTCCCAAATAACTAAAAATTTCCATACTCACCCATAGGACAATAACTAATATTTCTTATTTATAATTCACACATTGACTACAAGTCAATGGAAATCACAACTCACACATCAAGAAAAGGGAAGGGAAGAGACTATGATATGCTGAGCCTAAAGTATACAGGAGGGTAAAGAAAAGAAAAATTAATTTAAAATTATGTCTGTCAACAGATGCTCAGGAAGTTACAAAGTTGAGCAATGTTAAGTATATTTCCAAGTGATATTTCTAAGTATATTAAGGGAGGAAGGCTTGATCCTAGCATGTTATCCTGAAGCCTTCTGAGTCCAGGAGACTTAAGGAACAGTGACCCTGCTTCTTTAAAATAATCCAATTAAAATGTTGCATAGAGATTATCCAAACCACCTTCTAAGACATTAACATTGGCCAGCCAGAAGCAACTTAAAATCCCAGCAACTTAGGAGACTGAGCTGGGAGGACTCCAAGTTTGAAGCCAGCCTTAATGAGACCTTATGCAACTTAGTGAGACCCTGTCTCAAAAAATGAAAATGGACTGGGAATGTAGCTCAGTGGTAAGGCACCCCTAAGGTTCAATCCTCAATACCACCCACTGCCCCAAAAATACATTAACACTGGCCAGAATAGGCTAGTTCTTTAGTCAACCATTTACGAAAAATAAGGTTTACTCATAAAGCAGTATAAAATAGGAAGATCCAGACTAGAAAATTAATAAGAACATTATATTAATGAATAAAATCTATAAAAATATTAGGCACCAAAGTGAACAGTAAAGGAGGAAGACTATGTATTGCCTCCTGATATAGTTAATGTCTGGTAATGTCTCACATTCCCACATTCTAGTTGACCATATTAATAAAAAGAAATTTTCTTTTTCTTCAAAAAGCAGCAAATGGGGATCATAAGGCTCATTCTTTAGAAAAATCAGCCAGTGCCCTCTAGCATGGAATCCATCTTGCCTGGGAGCAGGTGCTCAAATTGACAAGAACTAAATGGATTTGCTTTCCCCTTTACACTAAGTATACTGGCAACAGTACAGTAGAGTTCTTTTTCCTTTTGCTAAAAAGGATCTCTTCTGTATTCTATATCCAGTTTTCAGTTAATGAGAAATCAAGAGAAACATGACCGTGAAGTGTCCAGACCCTTCACTTTATCTGCAAGACTCACTTTCTCTGCAAGGGCCTCCTCCAAAGTCGTAAGGGCAGTGTCGGTGTTGGTGGTGTCAGCCTGCAAGGATTTGACTCGTTCTTTCAAGCTGCTCATCTGCTTTTCCTTATCTCTAAGTTGCTCTTGAAGATTTTCAATCTGTATGCATTCACATTAAAGAGAAAAAAAGACATTAAGAAAAATGGAAATAAATACTATAAAAATCATTGAAAGTTAGAAACAGATCAGGGTTGTCTATGTGTGTTCTGTGGAAATCCTTTAATCCTAAAACTTTCAGAATAACGTGCAAAACCTTAAGACTAAAATTTACAGCCAGAACAAAGAAAAAGCATACACATAGATATGGACAGACAGACAGAGATATATACATATATATACAAATCCCTAAAAAAATCAAGAAGGTAGCTGAGAGAAAAGATGCAACACAAGAGATGGAAGGGCAGACAGGTATTGCACAGGAAAGCCACAAGAGTGGGATTAACTTCTAAAATGACACTACAAGTGTCAAGAAGGATTACTTCACAAATAATCAGGAACAGAATATAGAACAGCTAGACAGTAAGAAAGACAAATCAGCTACATAAAGGAAAAACTGTTCTTAAATGCTAGTGTTGTTAGATTTGACATCATCCTTTATCAAAACAACATCTACAGTAAAATTTCTTATTGTAGTCATGCATTCGTTCATACATACATGCATTCACTTACTAAAAAAACTTATTGAGTTCTTTATTGTATGTCAGACACGAGTAACACCAAGAAAAATAAGGAGACCCATTTTTATTATATGGTGACATGGCAAGAGAGTTCCCCGTTAGGTAGCTGAAGCTAAGCAACAGATGAATTTATATGCCTTCTAAGGAGACTTTATGGTAGAAAGCTAGAAATCATTAGAGATTACTAAGCACAGAAATGGCCTGGCTATTTTATTTAGATAATTCTGATGGCTGTGGAGGGGAAATTTAAAGGAACTTAAATACAGCCATGGAAAAGAATAGCAAAATGGATCAGTTCAGCAAAGAGATATGGGAACTAAGAGAATAAGACATATGGAAAATAAGGGATGTATTTGAAAAAAAAAAAAAACTGTGGAAATAGCATGCTATCACTAGGGAGATTCGAGTACACAGAAAGAAAAATATTAAGGAAAAAACGAAGAAATTCTAGGGAGAGTACTCACTCTACCACTGAGCTGCAGTCCCAGGCCTACAGAAATATTCTGAATAACTAAAGAAAAATTACAAATAATTCCATTACTCTAAAACTCACAAAGTTAATTCATTTACTCAACACATGTTTCAGTTCCTGCTATCTGCCATACATACTTCCAGGCATTGAAGATACAGAAATAATCAAAACACACCCAAATCCCTGCCTTCACAGAGCTTACATTCTAGTACAAAAAACAAATGAAGAAAGAAATGATGAGAATGAATGAATGAATGAATGAAGTATGTAGTAGAAAAATTAAGCAGGAGAATACTATCAGAGCTAGTACTAGAACTAGTACTTCACATGGCTTTCAGAATGCAACATAACTGTTACCTCCTTTGGGAAGACTTTCTTGCTTTTACCATGAGAATGCCATGATCATTGTTTGTGCTCCATTACATATATACATATGTGTACAACATATACACACAACACACACCCCTATCCTTCCATGTACTATAGCCTGAAGTCCTGACCATATGTAATTATTTTATACATGTCTCTGTGAGTAGACATGTTTCTGCCCCTACAACCTTGTTTTGTACCTTCGTATCTGCCCCATATCAGGACTTAAGTAAAAAACTGTTCATTAATCAGTAAATAAATATAATGTAAGTCTGGACTTTCATAAACTGTATTCAGGCACATAAACATACACATAAACTCATGCCAAGAAAGAAACTACAAAAGAATCCTGGATCCAATATTCAGATACTTTCTTACATTAATCAATTTAATAAAAGCTCTTTAAGAACCTGTTTCAGGGCTGGGGCTGGGGCTCAGCAGTAGAGCACTCGTCTTGCATGTGTGAAGCCCTGGGTTCAATCCTCAGCACTACATAAATAAAAAAAAATATACAGGTATTGTGTCCACCTACAACAAAGAAACTATTTAAAAAAAAAAAAAAGAACCTGCTTCATTCCACTGGAAAGAAAAAAAAAAAAGGAGCCACTCTCTGGAGTCAATAAGAATTTCAGAAGCAGGGCAAACAAGCTAAGGAAAGAGATTTAGTAAATTCTAAGAGTTTAAAAGGAATACTCTAAGGCTTGAATTTTCATTCTTCAACAAAGAAGGAATTATACAGGTGAACCACTGAAACACCTGAAATGAGCTCTAGTCTTTTCAGTGCCAAAAAGAGTCCACAGCATACTGTGAAAGGAGAGTTCTCACAAATAAAAAGCATTAGTCTTCTTTTAATTTAATAAACAGAATTTCATGTGGATCAAAACTTAGGTAAAATTACAACCCCTACAGAGAATTTTACCACTCGAAATTTAGTATTCCATATACATTCAGACTACAATGCCCTGGTATTTACATATTTTAAAAGCTGTGCATGTGCAGGTCATTATAGGTGCTATCACAGGCCTTACACAAAGAAAATACATGGTCAAGCTGTTGATTAGTACTTTCTTGTGAAGAAAGGCAGGACAAGAACCATTATTTAAAATGAAATTTCAAGAATAAGCTTAGTTTTACAGACAAGAAAACAGAGTCTTCTTTTATGAGCCCACCTAATATACGAATACCCCTTACACACATGCATATAAAAAAATAATACCCTTCTATCCACTCCATCATCAGCCTCTAGAAAGAAATTAAGAAATTAAAACATTAAAAGTTCTACTTTTATAATTCATATGTAGCTAAACTATTAAAATAACCCATTATTCTTTGCTGGTAAAAATTTCTACTGATATATTTAGGTGCAAAAGGTATCAGGTCAGGTAAAAGATCCACTAGCAAGTTATCCCTAAGCTATTTTCTTTTTCAGTTATCCAGCTGTCTAGACAGATTTGGCTGCTGAATTGGAGGGGAGGAAAAGGAAGGCTATTTTTGGACTCCGATTTACTGCTAAAGGAATAAACATTCCATTGTGAAGGATCTCACAAAATGAAAAAAGAAGAGTGGACACTAAGACTGTTTCCTTTGGGCACATTGCCACCAGTGAGAAGGACCTGAAATAGATACAGATGTGCAAACTACCACGTAAGCACTGAACAAATACAAAAGATGCTGTGTGAGGGGTGTCTATAAAAATACTTATTTTTTCATTTATTCAGCAGCAAGATGGCTAACAATTGAGCCCCACTGAAAGCTCCTGTTATATATGCTCACTTTAGTTGATTCAAGTTCTGCTTTTTTGATCAAGGACCTCTGGGTTATGTGTCACTGACCAGCTTGCATTTGATCACTGACACATTATTATTCTCACTATTCTCTTCTTTTCTACTAACCTAATGTTAACATTATAAAACTGTTTGCCCAAATAGCACCATATCATTTCATTTCAGTATTTATCATACTAGTTATATAAAACATACTGCAGAGACCCTATTCTATATCAAGTTTGATTATCCACAGGATCTGAAATACTGTTATTAAAAAGCTTTGAATATAACAGCCTAGAGAAAAACCAGATCCATTTTGCACATTCTTGAATATAAAAATAAAAGTGATTGTTTGGAATCATGTTTAACGGGGAAAAATATTCAACTGTACTTAAAAAATAAAAAATAAAAAAAGCTCCATTCTGTAGAAGCAGAAACCACAGAATCCCTGTATTACAGTTATAAAACAACAACAACAATAATGGTGGTGGAAAAGAGAAGCTAGTGATGATAACAAGAGCAACCAACACTTAAAAAGAGTGTCTATGTACATATCTTACCTATTTAAGTATGCCAAAAGGACTATGAGACAACAAGTAGACAATCTAACTGCAGAATCCTACTCTTAATCATTATGCAATAAGTATGTTTTATGGTGAAAAAAAAAGAAAGAATTTCTCAAAGCATTTTCACATAAACCATTCCATACCATAATGCTTATTTTAAAGCACAGCATATCATTACTACAATAATAGTAGAAATTCACCTCCTCCTGAAGCAAAGAATGAAGGGTAGGGGTAATAAACCATTGCAAATGTAAAAGTATTGTTTCCCAGGAGGAACATGTATTCAAGTGCAATACAGTAAAGCTGGTGGGGAGATCTAAAGATACTTGATGCAAGAATATTACCATAATGTTATTAAAATAATCTGTTTTCCCCAACTTTCTAAGAGGAAAGGAAGCAACGGATACAAGAAAGTATGCTTATTGATAGACATGTAGACTAAGGAACACCTGAAAAAGAAATATAATATCCCCTGTCCATGCGTTTGCTTTCTTTTTTTTTTTTAACTTGGGATTAATCAGAGTTTAAAAATATTAAGTAAAAAATTTCCAGAATCAAACAACTCATAATTTTCCAGCTAAATGCCATTCTAAGTACTGTGATAACATCTCATGTTGTGCTGTCTGCCAGGGATGGGTCATGAATCATTTATTTGTCTATCACATCCACTGTACATACACTACCCACCCATTAGTCACTTAGTAGCCAACTCAGTTATAAAATATATTGCTTGGGCATCATGTGTAGTAGCCTAATGCTACATCACAATGCCTATGTTATTTACCTCATTTTATCTTATCACACAGGTGCTGTAACATTTCACATCACAAGAAGATGAATACAATAAGATATTTTGAGAGATCACATTCACATAACTTTTATTACAAGGTCCTATTATAATTCTGTTTTATTATTAATGTTGTTATCTTACTGCCTTACTATTTCTAATTTATAAATTAAATTTTATCATAGGTATATGTGTATATGACAAAGCATAGTATATATAGGGTTTCACATTCAGGCATCCACTGGGAATCTTAGAGCATTAGAGCACCACTGCAGGAAAGGGGAAACTACCTAGAAAGCTTTCCTTCTGTTATTTATTTTTAATATTGAAAATTAATAGACTGTTTACTGTAGAAAATGGTATATTTCAAACCCCATAGACTTTTTTCTACTTTATGAATAATCTGCTGGATATAAAAAGAAATAATTTAGCATGTATTCAATTTCTTCATAAGTAAAATTC